TACGGGGAGGAGAGTAACAGGTCGGTAGATAGCTGGGTCACTACGACAACCGCACTTGTATATCGGAGAAATTATCCCTTGTTTCCATGTTTGTGGGAGCACAGTTTTGTTGAACATTTATTAGAATAGTTCGCTTAGTGGTTGAGCTGAATTACTCTCCAGGTTGATAAGGGTTTGTGGATGGATATTATCTACCCCTTGAGATGAGTTCCTTTTCAAACACTGCAATTTCGATGATATGACGTCGGAGAAAAATCAATTGTGATGAGCGTTGGATATCATATATTCTCATGTAAAAGAGGCAGTCCTAGTCCGGTGTTCTCAGCTGCGGTGAACACCTGAGCGTACTGAGGTTTTAGCATTTCAGCTGCCTCCTTTGTTGTCACTGAAACACGTTCTGCTACTCTTAGCCCTGGAACGCCAGGCTTAACTTTTCTGGTGGCATTTATGTGTTTGTACATCAGCTTGGGATTTGATATGAACTTGCGCATGATCATTTCTTAGTGTATTAACTTGTCTTCTCGCGCCAATTTGGTGCAGTGGTTTCAGAGTCGACAGTAGGTATACCATGTGTTGTTGCAAGGAGATCGTTTATAAGCTGTCCATGAGATATTCCTCTGCGAAATCCACTTTTTTGTCTGACTTCGAATCGCTGATCTTTGACCAATTGAGTAGGTGATGCGTTTGGTCTTCGTCGCGTCTTTCACCATTTACGCCAGGTGGTTTGTAAGTTCTACCCGAGATATCAGGGGATCACACTATTCGTTAGGAAATTTCCATTGGAAATCTCTCACCAAAATTTTAAGTATGGTGTATTAAAAATCATATAGGAGCTAACCGAAGAATTGTGCGAAACGGATGCATAGCAAAAGTAATCAAACGTCTACACAGCATGATCACTACGCCCTAATGGAGTTGTGTTGGAAATCGTTTCCGCCATCAGTTCCTCGTTAGCTAACACCAACTCCAAAACCGACGGTGATTGGTCGGCTCCACACCTCGTGGGCTCCTTCACAAAATTTTAAAGAGGATAGTATTCCATGAGCTGTGCAAGTTTCCTCTCAAACGGTCGTAGACAAGTCGCTGATTTAGCTAGATTAGGGCAATTGAAGTCGCCCATTATGAGAACATGTGTGGACTTCACTAACAGAATGTGATACATGGTTTGCAATAATATCCCATTGGCTGAGTTTGTGGATGAAGGAGAGCGACACACCACACCGATCAACCAAATATCGCGCCGTGACAGTCACACTTTGCACCAAAGTGAGTCAGAAGCCGCAGCGGGAAAATCAAATACCTCGCATTGTAGTTTGTTGCTAAAGTAGACTAACACACTACCACCCCTCGTAGGTCGATCGCGTCTGAGCAGAGTCATGCTGGGTAAGCGTAATTCTGAGTCCATAATGTCGGTTCTCAGCCAGGTTTCGGTGACTGCAATAATGTACCATTGACCAGTTTGGCAACGCAGTTCTACCTCTGAAAATTTGCTGAGGAAACCTTGGGAGTTAGTGTAGAAACAATGCAGTTGGTGGCGGAGTAGAAACTCGTCCAGGAGCGTATCGTCGGCTAAGGGAATTTTTTTGGGAGAAGAGTTTTTTGGGTCTGGTCTGCCAATTGCGGGAAGGAACATGAAGTCTGTGGGAACCCAGCTTGTATGGAGGCGACATTTTCTGCCGGAGAAACACGTTTTGTTCTTGGGTTGTGCATCGGTCTCAATCGCAGTTCTGATGGTCCCTTGATTTTTTTGTCGTACCACGACTGTAAGACAGTCGTAACCATTTCTGGTATTCCTAGATTTATTTTCAGAATTCTCGGGCAGTCCCCGCGGTAGTTAGGAGAACAGGGGAGACGGCTAACTGCTGTAGTCTGGCGACACCCGATGAGATTTTGAATGAACCACCACTCTTTACAGGCATTTTGCTGGCATTTTGATGTGTCTGGATCATTTATTGTGGGAATTCGTGTGTGAGAATCACTCGGGCATTGTCTATTTCCCGTACACTGTTCGGGTTATTCCGTTTGTACGCACCCTTGCTGCATGATCTGTCTGGTAGAATCCTTATTTTACTTGAACTTCCTTGAAGGAGAAAACTGGACAGAAGAACGTTTTCTACGTCTGATTCACTACAGTGTCACCCGAAGTGACATGGGTTCTCCGGCGTGAGATGAATTGGGCTGTCGCCGAGGGCGTGTGAAACCCATAGGTTGGGCGATGATCCCCACTCGCGTACACAGAGCACTCCAGCACCTCAACTCTTCGTCTTGTCTCTCTCAGTGACAATGACGTGGGCACGGAAACGTTTGTGCAAATCACAGTCAAAAAAGTGTTGGCTACGTCTCTCTTTTTTGCTCGCAGAACTGTTTTCTTTGAAGAAGCAGATAAGGGAGGCCACTGGGTGTGTGTGGGCTCCGAGGTAGTAAGTGCTTCTACTATTGCTTTTATCGGCGTGCTCATTTCGGCCGTGTTTGTCCGCCGCCGTGGGGTGACCACTTGCGTTGAGCACTTTGGTCGATTGCTGGGTTTCCGAATCGGGCTAACTGGTGTGATCTGGGAACTTAAGTCCGTTATTTTTGCCTCAGCTGTGTCGATTTTTGATTTCGTTCTTTCTTCGTCTCCTGACAGTAGCTTCTCGTACTTGTGTGTGATACAAGTAACGCATTTTACAATCGGGATTTCTGAACATTCTGCACAGAACCATAACTGTTCTGGCTGAGTGGCTAACTGTTTTGCCTGTTTACCATGAGTTTTGCGCATGAAAGGTGAAAGTGTTTCAGGCAGTGGGCATAATATCCCCGTTTTAACGACTTTCTTACAACTCCGTAAGCCGCACACTTCCGAGGCCGTCGAAACGCCTGATGCGGCACCTGTTGACACTGTACAACGTCCCATTTTTGCACTTTATAGAACGGCGAGATTGACGACAACGAAAAGGTCACGTGAAACGAGAGAAGTTGTCTCGGTCGCCCGCTCGTCCGGATCAGTGGAGGTCACAAGTACACAGAACAATGACAAAGGTCACGTTGGGAATATCGATCGGCTTCGCTGGCCGCAGTGGAACAAACACAAGTGCGACTGCGGGTGGAAGCAATGATTGCACTGAACAGCACAAATATTTCCGTGGAATGCTTGAAATTGAAC